AATAAAATTAAATAATTTACTTTAATGGCCAGCCATGTTAACGGGGCTAAGTGTTTTTCGCTGTAGATTGCAAGACATATATATAAAAACAGCTCCCAAATCAGCAGATCCCAAAAGCTCAAACTGAAAGATACCCTACCAGCTGAAAGCCTTGTTGACATTTACAATTTTTGTTGGCAGAGCTTATAGTACTGCGACTATATCTAAGATCCTCATTAATCGCTATTTTAAATTCAAAATTTTCAAGAAATATTATTAAAAATTTGTTACAATTTCACAAAATTTAGACGTGAAATAAATCTGAAGATCAAGGCATGTCTAAAATGCCATTAATAATATAAATTAGTTTAGTTCTGCCAAAGTTGTAGAAGTTTTAACTTTCAATCGGGAAACTTTGCAAGTTGCAATTTTTGCCATCTTGATAATGACTTTTCAAAGATAATTGGATCTCCTATAAATTACTTGCTTCTTATGAAATTTTTATGAATAAAATGTTCAGATTGAAATAAAGTTTATAAATATGTAAGGAGAGTACATGATATTTTCCTATAAATACAAAAAAATAGTTAATTTTAGAAATCCACTCGTTTGGAAGACAACATTTATCTAGATTAGAAACTATGCACAAAGTGTGATCAATCATTTGAACTGGTTCATATTTTGACAAAGTTCTGGCACTTTAAAATTTATGATACCCTCTTAAATAATTGCATAGGGTACAGAAATGTTTGCCGCTTTATAGATAAGCTCTCAGCTTGGGGCTGGTATGCAAAATTGACCAAAATTGGCAAAAAAAAATAATGGTTAGGCGCAAATAAAAAAATAAAAACCGCATCAAGCCGGGAGCCAGATCGTGATTTAGTCGGCATGGAAAATCTATTGCCAAAGTCGGGTCAAACACAAAGGCGATGTGCCCCATGTCTTGCAAGTCTCAATGGAAGCCAGCACGTATTCGCAGTGCTTAGATTGCACTTTAATAGATAATAAATTGAGGAGCCGCCTGAGCGCCTGAGCGACTGAGCACCTGAGCTGCATAAAGCTATAGAACGTGTTGCACATTTGTCATAATGCGGAACAAATAGCCAACATGATGAATGTGCGGGCATAGATACATTCGGACAGATATAGCAGATACCATATGACAGCCCGCTGAAAACAGAGTTCAGCAGTTGAGTTCAGACGCAGCCCACGCAGTTGAATGCAAGACATTTTTAATTGAAATTGAAATTGTTTCAGTTTCGGGTTTGGGTTGCTACAAATTGGCAAAAATAAAATAAAAATAAGATAAAGGAAAAGACACAATTAATCAATTGTCATAATGAAAACGAATCTTTTATGCGTGGGCCTTACTGCCAATTGGACAACGACTGGGCCCTCGGGCGGCATTTGAGCGCAGGTGTGGGGCTTGAAAAACTTCATTTAATTTACAAAAAATTTACCCGAGACACAAAAGCCGAATTGCCAACAGATAAATGTTGGCCATAAATCACACGTCTCTCAATGCCAATTGTGGCATGCGTGCGGATCAAAGACCCGGCTAAATCCACAAGCCCACACACACACGCACACACTTAAGCTAATCCATGTGTATATATTTTCCAAGAGAATTACCTATATTTCCATTAGCTCAAAGCGAATGTCGCATCGTGCAAGCACTTTTAGCAAATAATTTTGACAGCACTATAAATAAAATATAATTTTTGCCTGTGTGCATATAAACAAATCCTAAATACTTTTCAACAAAAACAACTACAACAACAACAACAACTACAAAAATTGTACAGTGCGTGACAATGTCAGTGCCAGCGAGTGAAAACGAGAGCAAAACTAATTTGGCATCAGGCCAAATCAAAACCCGATTATGCCCCGTACGTGTATGAAAAGCATAAAAAAATGAAATGCCGTAATAACAAATAGAAGAGAAAAAAATATAACGAAACAACTAAAAATACAACATTCAAATCTAATAAAACTGTTGAAAAAACATGACAAAAACAATAAACGAATTAGAGCTAAGTAGAGACTATGCCATACCCTGTACATTGTGTATTACTTGGTTAAATGCTTAAAACTTTCAAAATTCGTATAGAAGCTCGAAAAAAAACATTCCCTCTATTTTGGTTTGTTTAGATATATTTCCTGCCTTTAGGTTCGGTTTGTTTTTCACATTCATGAATTCCGAACAAAACTTGACTTCTCACAGTTTTCCAATTTTTAAATAAACCAATAAATAAAATGTTATAAGCTATCTTTTATATGAGACAATGTTTTTAGTGAAATGCTTAGCATTAATTAAATTTAACTAGTTTTTATATAATTTTGTTTATCAAAATTATGTAACTGTTTATATTCAAATTCCTTATTATTTTAAGATTTTTTTTTGGCTCAGGCTTAAATTTGATTTGGTTCAAGCTTCAATTCCGGTTCCTATGGATTTTTCTATATTATTATTCAATCAAAGTTTGTTGTTAGTGAAAGATTGTTTGAAGCATTAAATCAACAAAATGGGGCTTAAGTCCCGAGCGTGGTTATAGACTTTCTATATACATATCTGTGGCAGAGATCTGTAGGACCCATACGATATAGTTAAACATAGTCTAAAATATCTAAATGCATACAAGGTCTCAAGCTAGATGTTAACTAGTCCATAAATTGAGTATACCCTAACTTAATGCCCGTTTATTTTAAGTATAGGCACACATAACAAGACGTCCAGTTTGAAATCCTAGCCAATAATTTGAGGCTAATTTGTATGGCGGAACTGTGTTGTAGGTGTAAATATATACGCATAACAATTCACCTAGTTTATTGGGCATGAAATGCACACAAAAATGTTGGTCGATTGTGCGACAACTTAATGCCCCCGAAGGACACAAAATACGTAATTATATAGAAATTATAGTTTATGAGCTACGTTTAATTTGATTATATATTAAATGAACGACTTACTTAGGGCGTGTTATTCATTTGTTGGCGTAATTTCGGGGCGGGGTTACGCTCAAGGTTAGGCAATTGCCATTAATTGCCGGGCTTGGATATTTATTTAAGATCTATAATAAATTGCCAATGAATATAGCTTCTTGGAATAATTTAGCTAAATAAGCCATAAATAAAATGCACAAACAAAAGGCAATAAACTGCGGATTCTACAATAAATATTTCCAACTACAGTTGTTATGCTCATCTCGTACTCCATTAAATGCAGCTTTAAGAAAAACAAAAGACGAAAAAAAACACAAATTTTAAAACATTTAATTGATTGGCAATACGCGTTTCAATGAACATATCCATTTTCAATGGAAATTGCTTAATTACAGTTGTGAGTTTTAATGAAATATAAAAATAGTGCAATTCATTTTGATATGCAAAGTGCTACAAATTGATAAAGCACTCGAATTACATATTACAAAACATGCAAAAACACGAGCTCATCAGAAACGGATTGCATGTCGGGCGGACAGAAAAAAAAAGTACAAACCACTTTGTTAACGATTTTTGCGTGAAAATTGTTAAATAAAACAGAATAAACTGCTGCCAGCGACTGCGCAATACTCTGTTCAGGGTGCAATTACAGCTTGAACCAGTCGAAATAAGGCGTGGCCATACTATATTTGGATCGCTCTCCTCCTCCACAACTGTGGGACACAGTGACTTTTCCAGTTTGCCTAAATCTTGTGGGCGGGGTCAATAAAATATATAAGACTTTGTCCGATGCAAAAATATGGGAATAAATCTTTCAAGTTCCAAGCCTCTAGCTTCAATAATCGCGAAAAGATAATCACATATAAACAACTCAAAAGCCTATATACCCCTCTTCACTTTGTGAACAGTGTACAAAAAGTGTTTTACTCGCCATTGTTGTTGCTCTTTGCGGTTTGAGTAACGTGTCGTTGTTAATTAAAACTGAGAATTGTTTGGAAATTGTATTTTTGTTGTTTAGTGTATCTTTCGGGTCAGTCATTGCTCTAGGACGCATTGTCGGGCATTGCTCATACGCCCCGTTGTACATGCGTTGTAGTTTTTCTTTTTTTTTTTGCCACAAGGTTTGTTCAACCAAGCGAAGTTCATCAGAGCTAAGGTCCACTGTAACAGGTAGCGAGCAGAGAGACAAAACTTAATTCCATTTGCTTGCCAAACTTTTTTTCATTGTTTTGTTTATTGCCCGCTTTTTATGGCTTTTGCGTTTGACATGCAAAAAAAAAAAACTCAAATGTTTGTAGGCGAGTTAATTCGCTCAGCCGGCCACTTCCCCTCCAGCTCTAACAGCTAATGGAAATTGGCTCGTTTGATAACTGACGACTGCTTTGTTGTTATGCGCGGCGGTTTCTCTGTGTGTATGTGTGTGTGTGTGTGTGTGTGTGTGTGTGTGTGTGTGTGTGTGTGTGTGTGTGTGTGTGTGTGTGTGTGTGTGTGTGTGTGTGTGTTTGCATTTGGGCTGGCGTCATGCCGTCATTTTCAGTCAGTGAATTAGAGTGAGCGCTAATTTAATTTGCAAATTAGCCGTCGCTCGACAAGTGTCAAATTTAGCCCAATAAATACGCATAGATCATGTGCTAGGTGCACAAAGTGCCGCTCAAAGCGCTACGTTTCAAAATAATCTCACAGATACATAGGATTCTCTGAGACACAATGGTATCTCATAAATACAAAGGTATCTTTTAAGCTGAATGATGAGCTGTGAGAAATAACTGACTTCTTATAGATATAAAAGTATCTTACAAATACAAAATATCTTACAAATACAAAAGTATCTTAAAGGTACAATAGTTTCTCACAGATACTTTAGTATATTTTGATCAGCTATGATAAATAACTGACATTTAACAGATATAAAAGTATCTATCAGATATAAAAGTATCTTTCACGTACAAAAGTATTTCATACGTACAAGGCTATCTACCGTAGGATCCTTGCCTGGAAAGCTATGGCAAATAACTGACATCTTACAGATAAAAAAAATACCTCACAGATAAAAAATATTTTGAAAATACAAAAGTATCTCATAGGTACAAAGTATCTTACAGATACATTAGTATATTTTAAGATGCATAAAAGTCTCTAGCAAATAACTGACATCTGTTCCGTTCATCTTGCCAGTCTCTGCCTTGCCTCTATTTTATGCATTTCCTTTTTTCATTTTGATAATCCCTGCAGGCATTTTACATCTCAGCAGGGGGGCAATTGTCTTTAGCAATGCATGTCTGTTGGCACGCCCACTTGGCTGTGCCCCAAAGGCGCAGCTTCTGCAGCAACCATCGCTGAGGTGTCTCCGCTGATAAATCATGGCAGGCAGCCCGAAGCTGACAGCATTTAGACCGTCAGTGCCACCAAATTATCTGTATGTCGAATGCAGTCAGTCGCAGAGCCGAGCATAGCCGCACACTTCCCTACCCTACCCGCTTCACACTTCAAGGTAGCGTCAAGTGATGACAAGTCCAAACAGTTCTCAGGGCTTTGCATTGTTTGTGCCCCATGTTGTCACAATGTGTTGTTGCTCTGTTTGAATTGTTGTTTCTGACGCTGAGATACATAACATTAAATATATATGCATTTACACAGAAAAAAAGTTTGGGATAATTAAGTTATTTGTACCGAATGCTTAGCAAAAAATTACTTTAAAATTTCAAGTAGAACGTTTTCTGAAACAACATAAAATATTGAAATAAGTCAAAATTCATGACTTCAGATATAAAATCTTTTTTGAAGTACAAACCGTTTGTAGGCCCAACAAATAAGTTTGCTAAGAATGAAAACAGACTAAAAGTGGATTGAACTAAGTTCACAATTCAAATTAATATGATGTTCAAATCAAAAAAACCATATTTAAAATTATGTTTTAGTCAAAACATTCTGAAAACAGCCCTGTTTTACATTTAAATCAATCTCATATTATATAAAAGCTAAGCCTGTTTCAGCTCGAGTTAAGCCAATTAAGATTAAAATGGGCTATAATTAAGATTTTTATAAGAGAAAAACCAGCTTACATCAAGAAGTACTTGATTTTCTTCAGTGTATGTATTTCGGGGTCTCCATCTGCCACGGCTACCGTTGCGCAGTGCAAATAATGCGACTGGTTTTCAAGTTTGTCTGCGCCGGAAATGTGACTTCATCTGTGACTCCTCTCATTAGCCACTCGCATAATCAGCTGCATTGTTTTCTTGTTCATATTATCCACAAATTATCAATAACTATAGCAGAGATGTTGGCGAGTTATGCTAATCGTGCGTTAAGCTAAATCGATTTTACAATAGATTTGATATTTTGATTAGAAACAACTCGGCTACTGCTTCATTTTCGTTTCTCTGCCCCATCAAATTATTAACAAATTCTGCTGAATTTACAAAAAAGATGAAACCAAAATATAAAGAAATGGAAGATGGAAAAACTGAAAGCGAAACCAAGAAAAACAACAAATAAAGCTGTGTCGGCGTGAATCAAAGAAAATGGTCTGGTCCCCAGGCCTGAAAATAAACAATTTGTGAGGCGTTAAAGCAAACTGAAACCCAGAAGAAACAAAAAAAAAATAACAAAACATGACCACAATATGAACTAGTGAAGTGTTTTTTTTTCGCTTCTTCTGCTTTTATCGAGTTGAAAGTTTGTTTAGATTTCAAGTTTGATGCGACACAACAAATGAATTGTTTATTGCCGCGGCACATGCAACATTTTGTGCAGCCTAATCGAGTACAAAACTATGCATAAATCGAGTGACATTTCCGCAGAACCTTCAAAGTACCTGCCCCTCCCCAAGCCCCTCCGGGACATGCAGTGAATCAATGGCACTTTAAAGAGCCCTTCACTCAGTAATTGCAAAGCTGAACGCTTCATTAGAGGCATGCAAAACAATATGGGCAATATAACTGACTACCGGGCGGCACTTGGATAGTAGCGCTTAGCAGACACACACACACACACACACACACACACACCCACACCCACTCAGAAACACACACACTCGCAACGCGTTCTGCAAAGTTCAGTCAACTCTGCGCTTGGCTTTTAGCTCTTTATTTTCAAAATAAACGAGTTAACGATTCAGCTGAACAAATTACAGGAACGGAGTTGAAATAAAAAAATAATAACATGAAGAATCAGCAAACATTATTGTTATACCCTGAACCCATTAAAATTGGGTAGCTTATAATTTATTGTCGATATTATGTCACATTTCCATAATATCGATAAAAATCGATTTTAAGAATTGAGTTTTTAAGCATAACTCGAAAATTATTAGAGCTAGACACACAAAACTTGGTGTGTAGATTCTTATATAGTATACACAGATTAATAATATCTCCGTTTTTAAATAAATTCTCTCATTCTCCCCGAAATTGAAGGAACGTCGTTTTTAAAGGTAGAGTCCTGCACTTTGGCATATCCACAAATTTGTGTGCTATATTTAAGTCCTGAAAATTGCATAAAGATCGGATAATTAACGTCTCAGTTAAACCAGAATGCAAAGTGCGCAGCTTGCGATGTGTGTGCTTGGGTGTGTGTATAAGTGTGTTTTTCATGTATATGTATGTATGTATAGAAGAAAGCAAAAATGTCTGTAACGACAGCTCGGCGCTGAGCTCGCGGTATCTCCAAGTCGGGCAACCCCGAACTTGATATAATTGTGATGCTTCCTCTTGTTACCATTTTTAGATTGTTGTATTGCCAGACATTTTGGCTGCGTGTTTAAATTGTGAATATTTTTAATAACATTTTAATTAGCCAGTTTTTTTTGTGTTTGGATTGGAAACTAAGTGTACTTACTGTACGCATTCAGTTGACCTACATTTTTGGGTAGGGGTACCGCCACTTGTCCACATTTTTGTGGAGATTCGAAGACAGACAGTCTTGGCTTTCTTCTGTTGCAAATATGCCTTGTCACATCTTCAACATCTGTCAACCGCTTGTAATTAATGCGAAAAATTGCCAGCTTCTTTTTTTGTATACACTGTTCACAAAGTGAAAGAGGGTACATTTGTTTCGCTATAAAATATATTCGCTTTAAAAATCCCTTTAAAACTTGAATAAAAGTACAATTTACTAGAGAATAAACAGTTAATTACCTTAATATACCATAAGAGCAATCAAAAAAAAAAGAATAGATTTTTTGCATAGTGTAATCAAGACTAATTTAAGCTGTTGGTACACTATACACAGAGTATGGCGCAGGCATTTGCACCCGACTGCAACGGTACTGACTTGTTATTCTTTCACTTCCTGAAGAGCTGCTCAACCAGGGCCGGAATTGGGTCAGTGAGCAATTAAATCACAGGCTGCGAATACGAAATGTAAATGCTGCAAACAGATCCCGAACATATGGCGGGCTTTAATAGGGCGACCCGCTCCAACAAAGAGAGAGAGAGAGAGAAAGAGAAAATCAGAAAAAGAAGTTAATCAAGCGACGGAACTATCTGAACATGGCATCTTGGTGTGACTCATAAATCTGGCCAGAGCCATCACCCAACGAGTAGAAGAAAGAAATTCACTTGTAAACAGAACAGCAAACAGAATTTGTTTAAATAACCCATTTGTCGACCCAATTAACACACATCTCATTTCCAATATGGGTTATCATTAAACGAGGTGTTGGGCATGTTGAATTGGGAATGGGTACGGGAAGTGAAAGAGGCCCACATGCAACAATTAACGAAAAAGCAGCATAAAAAGCAGCGATTGTCTGTCATTTCTGTGATTTCGATGGTAGCGATAAGATAAAGGCAACAATTGGGCTACAATTTCTGGTGCAGTGGAAAGCCGCAGCCAAACAGTTGAAAATGACGTAAATACGACTCTTTCTTTCCGCCCTGTAGGTATACATAGGTAACATACACAGCCGATAACATATTGTACGCGCTATCAGCCTCAGGGGGTCTTTCACAACAAAACATTTGTTGCAGCCGAAAAGAACTGTTTTTTTTCTATGGAAAGCACATTTTATTTTTATCGACTTCCTAGTTTTGTGTTTAGTTTTGGGTCTGGAGTTCGCTTATCTTTGCGAATTTTCTAGACAGAGTTGCGCATACGACGCGTTATCTGTGCGCACATAAATTCCATTTAATTCCAGTTGGCTAAAAACAAAACAGACTAGTTAAGTCTTTAGACGGTGGCCATTCACAGAAAGATATACGATTTAGCTGGCTGCTTGTTAATCGATTTACATCTATTTTACGACTACTTAGTTTTTTGGAACTATTCAAGATCAAAGTCGAACATTTTGGTGTACCCTGTACTCATTGAAAATGGGTCTTAAAAAAGGGTATACTGGTTCGGGTCAAATATAAGTATGCAGGCAGAAGAAGGCTTCTTCAATGCCTTGGTACATTTAATTATTAAAATTGTTTTGTATCATTTTTATTTTATTCGATGAATACCCCAATTAAATTAATATCGATATATATATATATCGATGGAAACATATCAGCTATCGACATATCTCATAAATTATAAGAGCTGAAGCCAAAATTTTTAAAATAACAGAGTTTAAAAGATCTGAAATCTCTGCACACATTTGCGCGAATATCGCGATTATTTCAGAAAGATCTTATTACGGACATTATAGGGAATCTGCTGGTCGAAACGCTCGACTGAAGGCACTTGGTTATTTAACGGGTTGCTGTTTGTGCTGTTATTGAACTCTAGTTCATTTGCCCATAGAAACGTCGCCATAAAACGCTCGAAAATTTAACGCATGATTGAGTCAGAACGCTATGGCACAGTATACTCCCTCTCTCGCTCTCTCACTCTAACAGTGCCTACCCCCTAACTCCATCTCACTCTGCTGGTAAAACGATCTTTTGTATGTGCGCAAAATGCAAAGAGCAAAAAGCATTTCAGTTTTATGGGCCGCAGAACTTCTTAATGAATGGCGAATCGGAGTAGCTGGGAAGGCATTCGGTTACAATTTGCCTGCCCCACAGATCGATGAATCATTTTGTGGTTTACAAACTTTCCGAGAGGGCGTCTAAGTATTCGAAGTATTTGAAATGCGAGTTCGGTCCTTATGCTCGTTCACAAAGTAAAAAGGGTACATAATAAGCTCAAGCTAGAGATTTGAAATTGATACTCATGCATATCCGCATCAGGCAAAGTGTTTAGATTATTTGGCTATGCCCAGTGTGGGCGGGGAGAATCGAAATAATATACATCTTCCACAATTTTAGAGCTAATGTCTCCCAATTTTGAATGCACACTTCTTTAGGAGTGCTGCCTCTAAAGATTTATAAAAATATTTTTTACCCTGTGGGCAATTTGACTGATAGCCTTTTAGAAGCTACTTATAGGCTGTGAACGCGTATTACACAGTCGGTCGCTCCCGACTGCAACTTTCTACCTTGTTTTTTATACCCTGAACCCATTGAAAATGGGTAAAGAGGGTATAATGCATTTGTGCAAATGTATGTAACAGGCAGAAGGAAGCATCTCCGACCCCATAAAGTATATATGTTCTTGATCAGCTTCAATAGCCGAGTCGATCTAGCCATGTCCGTCTGTCTGTCCGTATTTATGAACGCAAGGATCTCAGAACCTATAAGAGCTAGAGACTTGAAATTTTAGCTGTAGGTCCTCCTAGTCCCCGCGCAGATCGAGTTTGCTTCGATATCGAAATCCTGTTTTTTGAGCGATTTCGGTAAATAATATGAGCTAGAGTCACCAAACTGGACATGTAGCTTCTAGAATAGTATATATATATCAAGTATCTATCATTTTATACCTACGGCCTGTTGGAAGAAGAGGGTTCAGGGTATCCCCTAGTCGGGAGCTCCCGACTAGAACCTCTTACTTGTTTTTTAATCATTTTGCAGTTTTAGACATTTGAAATAATCGAACGATTTCATAAATGGTCCATAAACGTATTGCTTTCATTCTTAATTTATAGTTGTTGAGGAGCAAAAAAAAAAAATTTATAATATTAAAAATCAAAAAACGAAATTCCTAAATACTATTTATAGCTCCCCATTGATTTGATTGGTAAAGTCCACACTCTTGGGTGCTGCTGGCAGTGCTCTATATATAGCTGTGGGCGAGTACTTATAAACATTGTGTGAATTGTGTTGAATTATTCGCATAGATCGCGTATTTTTAGCAACATGTGAGTGGAAACATTTAAACATTTGGCGCCGGCAATTGAACTCGTTTCGTTGTGCCTATTGTTCTTGTTGTTGTATTTGTTGTTGTTGTAATTAAAGCGATCCGTTGCAACTGCAACAACAACAACAACAACAATATGAGCACGCCCCTCGTTGCGACACGTGCCAGTGAATAGCTTCCTTTCCGCCCTCGCCCAACTACCGAGCCCCTTTGTCCACCCGACAGCTGCGTCAATTTGA